GCTTTATTTTATTTTTTCATGTACAATCTGTGTTTATTCAAATATAGTCCTGTCATCAACTTTTGGTTGCTGGACAGTGGTGGAGGGCAGGCTTTCACTTAACTAGGGCTTATTTTTTGGGTAGGGCTTATATTACGAGCATCTTGAAAAATCATACTAGGGCTTATTTTCAGGTTTGGTCTTATTTTCAGGGAAACAGATTATAAATACAGCTGTGTTCCCATATAGATTAATTCAGTCAATTATCCCCATTTCACTAGAAGTTACCTATTTTCTAGGTGTGGAAATATAGTCCACATTGTAATACCCTGTAAAATAAAATAAACCATGAATTAACCTTCATTGAAAGTGTTGCTGTATACATATTTCTTGATATTTCTATTTTTCTACTCTCTTGTATGAATTTTTCTTAATGCAGTTGTAGTGACTGAATTTAAGAGGTTTAAAACAAGGCAACGTGGAGCAGGAGAGAAAAGTCCCCACTTACTCCAGTTAGAATAGGAACGTGTGTCTGTCTGAAGCAGAGCAGGGTGCCTCCATGAACCATTGCTGACAGAGTACACTGCTATCTCTGATTTTGGTCTTTCTTGACATTCACTTTACATATGTATGACTAGAAGTAGTTTCCCTGCAAAGAAAGACAATGGAGGGCTGAAGGCCCATCACTTCACTCTACCTGGCTCCTTTGTGACCAGGAGCTGCTACACATGGGATTTCTTGGAGGGAAAGATCTAGGGAATTCTTTATGCTTGCAGTGGACTGAGCTCACAGAGGCTTCCGGTCAAAGAGAACAAGTTTGGATTTCCCATTTCCACAGGACTACAGCACCTTTGTGTAGAATTTAGGAGTCTGTGTAAGTTCAATAAGCAAAGAGGAATGTAAACTAGCCCTGTCCCAAAAGCGACTGTTTCTATTGCTCAAAATGGAGGGGAAACTTGTGGGGTGAGTCTGTGGATTTCCTTTGCATGTTTTTGAACCTTGCTTTTTCAGGGTTCCAGATCACACAGGGAGCCTGGACAGATGATGCACTTCAGACCATTACCCTCCAGGTGTTGCTGGACTAGAGCTCCCTGAATTCCTTACCATCAGCAGTGCCAGCTAGAACTAATGGAAGCTCTGGTCCAACAACATCTGTAGGGCTGCACTTGGCCTGCACCTACTCTACATATGGAAGATGGTGAAACCAGCGGCAGAATAATAGATTAGCAGAGTTGGAATAGACCTTGAAGGTCAGCAGGTTAACTCTCTGCTGATGCAAGAAATCAACAATCAAAACATCTCCGAATGATGGACTTCCAATCACTGTTCAAAACCTCGGAAAGAAGAGTCCACAGCTCTCTGAGGGACTTTTGTTTCAGTACCAAGGAGCTCCTACTATAGTGGTGCCTTGCTTAACGATTGCCTTGCTTAACAAGGAAATCGCTTAACGATTAGTCAACGATGGTCTAAATGGGAAAATCCGCTTCACGATGATCGGTTACTTGACGATTAGGTTTTTGCGATCACAATTGTGATTGCAAAACGATGGTCTAAATGGGAAAATCCGCTTCACGATGATCGGTTCTCTGCCTCGGGAACCGATTTTTGCATTACAATGATCTAAAAACAGGTCATCATCGGGTTTCAAAATGGCCGCCTGGCATACAAAATGGCTCCCTGCTGTTTTTAGGAGCCATTTTTCGCTATAT